AATGAACAGATTCGCATCTTTTCTTTCAGTGTGAAGTATACACATAAAAAGCGTCTGATTTTTTCTCATCAATGCAATTTTACCTGATGGTGTTTGTGCCGTTGGCAATGGCATATTACCACTTTGTAGCTGTTGATCATGCGGTGGTGCTGTCGTTGAATCAGTGGCATTCTAAAATAACAAAAAATAAAATAAAATAAAATTTGTTTCTCTACACTTCACTCATAATCGAAGTATTTACGATTGTGTTGTTTTCTTTGTCTCGTTTTATATTTGCATCAAAGACAAAAAGAGCTTGTCAATCAAACGCACGTTTTATGTGTAAGTCGATCAGATGATGATGAATGAAAATCTCTTTACACATTTACTCGCAACTTCATTCATTTCTACAAATCAAGAATATCTCTCTTTTCTTTTTCTTCTTTTCTTATGCCAATCTTCTCACTCCGCCTCTATGCTCGTTTGTAAATGTCCAATTAAAGAACACTCGATACATCTACGGGCGTCAATGAGATCAGCTGTTTAGAATGAAAGCGAGAAAAAAAATCTACCAAGGAAATTGATGTTTCTTGACATGACAAACATAAGAGAAAAACATGTTTATCGGAAAATAGAAAAAACATGAGACAAATGATCATGAACAGAAAAAGTAAATCGAAGTTAGTTGATTATCATATCAATACACATTTTCCTCTCGCACTTTCTCTCATAATGTACAGTGTCATTCGTTGTAGGACTTACCATATCTGTATTGTTATTATTGTTTGTTGTTGAACCGTCTTTCACAGGATAAGGTGATGACTAAAATACAAGAAATTTCAATGTTATTGATTGTTCAATCTGTAAATGAAAACAACACTATTGTATGTGAAACGTGCAGACACGAGAACAAGGGATATGGATAATAGACACGATCAGACATAGATGCACTACCTCAACTTGATTTTCGCCGTAATGTCCATAATAAGTTCTTCCTACAGCTTGCTGGTGGTCATAAACACCAGTGTCATGTGAATATGAGGAATAATATGCATTTGTGCGTGAGTCATACATATCGAATGGCGATAGCTGAACATGATTTACTCATTTAGATTTTAGTTTTTTTTTTGAAGAGGAAAGAAAACGAACGATCCAACACAAAAACTTACAATTTGATGATGATGTGGAGGTCCCGATGGATACGAATGGTACATCGCACGATTTGCCATGTGAGCTTGTTGATTTGGTGCACCTTGTGTTGGTCCATTGTAATAATTTGTCGTACCCATCATTGGATTCATTATCATGGCTTGTGTTCGATTATTGCTGTTGTTGTTATTATTATTATTTGTATTGTTATTTGGATAAAAACTATTGTTTGTTGTTGGTTGTGATGGCATATCAGTCGTCATTGTTTCACCAGCTGATGAATTTGCACTTGTTTTCGTCGATTCGTAAGACATTTGGATTTTCTAAGAATTATTGTTCAATAATCATGATAAACTAAAAAAAAATAAAATTGTCATCGATCAAAACTATTGACGAGATACGACTTACAACAGATCATATAAACAAGAGTCGAATTGGCGACAAAATAAAACAAATCGAATATTGAAAGCGTCGTTTTCGCATCTAAAATGAGAAATTCTGATATATTCTTCCTCTCTTTCTTTCGTTCTTTCTTATTGAACACAAAAGACAAGATGGACTATATATAGAACAGAGGTCGTCAGATGACTTTTCCATATGAAATTGATTAAAAAAGCGACTCGATGTCGTTTTCCAACTGGATTTCTTTGACGAATTTTTTCGAACACAGAACTAAAGAGAATGTTTCTGAGAGAATAATACAACAACGCGCTTGGTCGCTCTCGCGAATCGGATTTAATCTTTTTGATTTTTGTCGCCATGATGGTAGAACTTGACCTCCACCAATGACACATGATTCAATGAGCCAATGATTTGTCTTCAAGTCAAATCTTGCTTTCATTGTATCGTCCTCAGAAAATTTATTACGAGAAAGCTTCAGAAAAAAACTATCCGTTGAATCGATATTAAACGAAAACATAGAATAAACGATAGGAACTTTTTCATTTGCACAAAGAAAACACCAATAGGATTTATTTGATCGTTGGTTTCCTTTGACAATGCTGATGTAGATATTTAGTTGTGGCAGAATCGCGATGTTTCGGATGAACAACGATAATCGGATAGCCTTCAGTTGGTCTCCAAATCAATAATTGTGCATTATTTGCCTAAGAAGAGATACAAATCAAGTTGAAGTGTCCGATGAAAACAATTCTTCTACTGATGGTTCTTGTAAAGCACAAGAAGGAATCAGGAGATTTCTTCTAAGAATTATCGGCTGATCTGGTCGAGAATTGCTGATCAGAGTTGCTCGTATCCCTCGATTCAAATTCGGTTCGACGCTAATTTCAATTGTTTGCGACCAACGCAACGTTCGCATAATTAATAATTCATTCTTTGTGCAATTCATTGCACATAACCAAACATAGAAGCGTTGATGTCGATAAACATGTGTCAAACGACATTGTTCACTTTCGTACGTTGGAATATCCCTGTCACACACATATATATACATATATGAAATACTTCACTTTTAACCTTTGTTTACCATGGAATCCACGGTGCAAATAAATCACGCATACTAATCGTGTATTCAGTTGGTCGATGGATCGGTCCTTGAATCGTTGCTACTAAAAAGTAAAAAACAATTGAAATTCGCGGGAATATTACTTATTCTCACCTTGATTTTTCGATCCATACCACGGATAGTTCCGTCCACAACTGTCATTTATCATTGAGACGTCGCGATCGATCAATTGTGGGAACTGCAGATATGGATTTCAGCTTCTCACGAAAGAAACGACTTACTTCCCATGACGAACTGAAATACAATTAGTATGAAAAGTTTTCTTTTGAATTCCATCATCCGGTTGACTTACTTACTAGCCAAGATTTCCATATTCATTATGGAAAACCATATGATCACCTTTTTGAAAGAGAAGTCTATTTGTACAAAACGAATCTAGAAGAGAAATACACACATGCTTGAATAAAGCCAACTTTCCAACATTCGTTCGTATGTATCGATGGAAAACGAAATGTAGCCGTTGCACTGTTCGTGAAAAATGCGAGAGCATCATCTGAACAAGTTATAAATCTACAGCTTCTTACATAAACGATGGAGATCTATATTTGAGAACGCGTAGTGATGTCTCGTCGATTTCTGTTGGTTTTCGTTCAATAGATGTTTGAAAATGTATGAGTTCAATGAATGGGTCTCGTTTTTCATCATAAAATCGTTGTTTGATCTCGTTTAGATCTACTTTATGCTTTTCCTCCACTGTTAAACTACACAAACAGTTGAATTCGAGTAATAAATCAAACAATTTCGTACGGATCATAACCAATTGCGTCATTGTTCAAAGCCATGGTGTCTGATCATTCATCGAACGATACTACTGAACTCGATACATTTGTCAAAACAAGACTTGTTTTCTGGTAGAGTTACAAATCTTTCGGATAAGCAAAGAAAAAAAAGCTCAAAGAAATGTTGAAGACAAAAATTGTATTAAACTATTGAAAAGAAAAAGAGAGCGAAAAAAATGCTACAGAGCAGATAAAAAGAACCGAGAAGAAGCTGCTGTCATTGACAGACAACGAATGTCGAGAAATAAAATGAGATGAAATTGAAAAAGATCGTGCTGTGCAAGCAACACTCCAATGTTCATTCCCTTAGTTTTCTTCTTTCTAATAGTCGTACTTAACTCTCAGCTGAAAACAGATATGGCCGATCGTCGATTATCACATTTGAATGCAGCATTTGCCGAACTTCGATCGCATATACCAAGATTTCCTTACGAAAAACGTCTCTCGAAAATTGACACACTTCGATTGGCTCTGGCGTATATCGAATTTCTCGATGGGTTGACACATTCAGATTTAATGGTACATGAGTATATCGCACACTCTCCGAGATGGTTACATTCTGAATTAGCTCTGCGACTACGTTGGCTTGATTGGAATTATTTCTTACCTCGTTAGATCGACTCGTATATGTTTTGAAAATGGACAATGTTTCATCGAAATCATATTCAGTAAATAAATCATTCGTTTGTGTACAAGTCATTTTAATAATAAAGAAGTTCATCAATACGTGCAAATGCTTTATAAGATCATACTTTTGTGTTTTTTAAAATTATTGTTACATTGATTTAATGATAGGATAATCGTTTTACTAACAGTGGGACCTCACATGCAATTAGTTTACACATCATTCTTATACACTTAGTTAAAACACAGATTAATTGAACTCGAAGTGCTCACGAGTGAATTTTTATATTTTCTAAGGGAATAATTTCATGCCAACACACTGTTTTATCTTGTCTAGAGAATATGGATTATTTGTATATAACTGAGCTTTTACATAGTGCTATCAAGAACAGACATAGATAAAATAGACACAGTACGATCGTTCACATAAGAAGAACGTCGGTAAATCAGATGAAATGAAATTGAAAAAGACCCTGCTGTGCAAACAATACTTCATTTCTTCAGCTTTCTGTTAAAGAAGACATGAGCGATAGTCAATTATCATATTCGAATGAAGCGTTTCCTTAACTTCGATTATACACACTAAAATTGGTATCGATTCTCTGTTATATTCTTCACGGTTTCCAATACTCAACTTTATTGGTACAGTGATATGTTGTACATCTCTCAAGATAATATCATTCACAAGTGACTCTTGGACTACGTTGACTTGATAAGATTCGTTTTCCAGTCAGTCAGGTTTTACTTTTTCCTATAAATGTTTTTCTCCAATTTAAATGATGAGAAAAAAAACAATAAAAATCACGTTATGAAGGCGTGAGAAACTCAACTGATGTCGTTTTGTGAAATAAAAACGAATGTAGATAATAATATAACTATAAAAAGAAAAAGATATCATCCGATATCAATTTATACCCATTTCATATTTTGGGGCTCCTTCGAAAATGCGTCTCTTGGCCGGATTTGCTCTCGTTTGTGTCAGTGTTGCCTTCATACAAGGGCAACTACTTGTTCCACAAGTTAACAATTTGAATGCAGTTATCAGTTTACTACCACAATTTCAAGTAAACCAACGGCATTTCACTATTTATTTATTACTTCGTATCTTCATCTTTGCGTATTAGGGTTTTCTTGGTCAACTTGATCAAATTCTTCCTCAACTTTCTGGTGTACTCTCATCAGCTGAATTACAATCTCTCAAAGACAAAATCACTCAAGCTCTTACAAGTCAACTTGGCGGAAACTTCGATCTCAATGCTATCAAAGACAAATTCCGACCAATTCTTCAACAATTCCTCGGCTCACGTCCACAAGGTCGTGCCGACTTTGACGCTATTCTTCAACAAATTGTAGGTGCTGCCACATCCGCTCTTCCCGGTATTGTACTTGGTCTTGTCGGCAAACGCGAAGCTGTTGATGCTCGTATCAACCTCAATGATATCCTTGCTTTGGCTGACAAACTCCAATTACAACAATTCATCCCACAAGTCGCCCAATTCTTGAGCTCAGACAAACTTCAACAATTACAAAACCAATTCTTCGCCACCGTTGTTGCCGCTGCTGGTAACAACTGGAATCCAGCTACGCTCGGTCAAGCTATTCAACAAATCGTCACCCAATTCGTTCCACAACTCCGCCAAATGCGTATTGAGTAAGACCTAGAAAGAATGTATGTCTCTCTATCGATCTTTTGTTTTATAGTTGGGAACAAGTTGGTCAATCTGCTCTCAATGGTCTTACCAATGCTCTTCCAGGCATTCTCATTGGTGCCCTCAGTCTTTTCGGCAAACGCGAAGCTGTTGATGCTCGTATCAACCTCAATGACATCCTTGCCTTAGCTGACAAACTCCAGTTACAACAATTCATCCCACAAGTCGCCCAATTCTTGAGCTCAGACAAACTTCAACAATTACAAAACCAATTCTTCGCCACCGTTGTTGCTGCTGCTGGTAACCACTGGAATCCAGCCACACTCGGTCAAGCTATCCAACAAATCGTCACCCAATTCGTTCCACAACTCCGCCAAATGCGTATCGAGTGAGTTTGATGATGAGTGTGAGCTATATCTCATGGATGATACATAATTTTAGTTGGGAAGAACTTGGTCAATCTGCTCTCAATGGTCTCGCCACTGCTCTTCCAAGCATTCTCATGGGCGCCCTCAGTCTTTTCGGCAAACGTGATGTTAAGATGGACTATGAACAATTAATAGCACAATTGCCAACTGACAAACTCGCTCAAATTGTCCAACTTGTCAAAAATACAAAGAAAAACAAAGTTTTGGCTAGTCTTCGCAAGCTCCTTCAAAGCTTCTTCCCTGGTTACCAAAGTCGCATTAACTTCGATGATCTCGCTGCAAATGTACTCAATCATTTAAACAACATCTTACCAATCATCAGTCAATCCATCACAAATATCCTCGGTTAAAAAAGTTTAAAAAGTTTTCAATGAAAAAATAAACGTAACTAACATAACTTTGTTGTTTATCTATTGATTAATTATCAGTTATGAATGGAAATAGCCTTTTGAATTGAACCCGAGTTTGGATCTTTCGCGTATGGTTCACAGAATGAGTCCTACGATAGGATGTATCTTGATGATAATGAAGGGAAAGAGTAAATGAAAGAGTACTTTTGCGGTCAAAAGAACATTTCATCAAGCACAATGGAAGGAATTGGGAGTGAATCTTTGTGATTTCTCTGTTAAAGATAAGTATTCTCGTTTATTCGATATAAAAATGTATAAAATAAAATCGAAAACAGTATATATACATCGAAATATGAAAAATGACTCTTGCATAATCAAGTTTCCTCCTAAATTTTCATTCATTCCATCTGTAGGTCACTGTCATCAGCATAAGTATCCGATGGTGTTGATTTCTGTGAACTTAATATAGAAGATTCATCGAATCGAACATGACGAGTACGACGGCGTCGACTTTTATTGAGTAAAACCTAAACAGACGATGTATAAAAATAAGAGATTCACCAAACCCAAACCTCGTGAATAAATGGTTGCACACCACCTTGTGGAATAGTCACTTCTTCACACACTTTTGCCTAAGAAAAGCCATGAAGAGAAAAACGAAAGACCATATCAAATCTCACAAGTTCATCGTCATTTTTAATCGCTAGAGCAATATCACGAGGAATAATTCGTTTTCGTTTGCTTTGACGACAGATATCACCGGCCAATTCGAGTGTTTCAGCAACCTGAAAAAGAAATCCTCGCATCATGTCGAAGTACATGAATTCATTAAGATAAAAATTCGCTTACTAGATATTCTAAGACGCCAGCTAAGTGAACTGCTGCCTGCGGACTTATGCGAGATGCATAACGTCCTTCACGCAAACGATTTTCAACACGGCTAACAGGAAATAATAAACCCTAAATATACGCTGATTATTAATATTTCATCGCTTGTGCAATAAAACTAACAGATTTTTGTGAGCGACTTGTCCGTCGTCTACTTGTTGACTTGCTTTTATTTTGCTCTGGTTTATCAATAATATTATTATTCGAGTCCCGTTCGTCACTTGAATCCGTAGATAAGCGCAAATCGTCACTTAAGGAGGAATTCGTATCCATTGCGATTTGAATGCAGTCGACCAAAAATGTGAGATATTCATAAAATTCAAATGAGACGAGATTAGTTTATTTATACTAACAGACATTCTGACCGTTAGAAATTTCATTTTTCGTAAACGCACATGGTGTCCATTTCGTTTAGTCACATTCGCTGATAACGAAAACTAAAAAGAAAACAAAGCGACGAAGGAATTTCATTCGAAAAAGAAAATGTCCTTGAAATCTTCTATTCTCATCATTTTTCTTCAAATAGTTACGGTCGAATGTTTAACAACCAGTTGTCAAAAGAATCGCTTTATCGATTACAGTCAATTAATCAAAACACGCTGTACCATCGAAAATTGCATTCTATCATCGAACTGCACTACGCGATATGAATGTGAATGTAAACGTGACTATGTCGTCCGATATAACGTTACAATTGAACATGAAGACGATGAAGATGATCAACATGACGATGAAGATGAAGAAGCAATGAGTGTTCATTTAGGTGTGATCTCTCGATCGCCCAATGATAAATCTCATCCCACGATTTTCGTAAGTTGAATCCTTGTGTCTTTGCTGTAAAAAGATTTTTCTGATAGATTGGTGAAAGTTATCCATGTTTCTATGATGAACGTGACATTACTACTGTGTTTTGGTCGCGACCTAACCGTCGAACTTATTACATTCTATTAACACTAAGTTTGATCTTAGTTTTCACAATTATTCTTGTTCCAATCATTTATCTTCTATTAATCATTAAATTTACTAATTCAGAAACGAAAAAAGACAAAAAAACAAACGAAAAACTTGTTTTATAACTTTACATCGTATCTTTTTTCAACATCGATTTTGAATTTTTCAGTCTTTGTATCCACCACCGATTTGATTTTTGATCCCATTTGTGTTAAAACCCCGGAATCCTGTCGTTCTAAACGTAACTGCGTACGAATATCATTTAAAACTACGTCCGGACTGCGTTCTACCACGAACCCACCCATGAAAAGTTCATTTAAGATATGATTCACCCTTTCGGAATGAAATATCAAATCCAATTCACAAACATTTTCGAAATTCTGATCTAAACATTGCACAAACATATGAATCATTTCGAAAATATCGTATTCTGATTCAGTTGAATCAACAGCGAATACGAAATAAAGCGTTGCATAATGACGATAGATTAATTTGTTCTCATTGTATTCGACGAAGTTACACGAATCCAAATCACGCTTGGAGACGATTTGAAACGCTTCACGAAGTAATTTTTNTGATCTAAACATTGCACAAACATATGAATCATTTCGAAAACATCGTATTCTGATTCAGTTGAATCAACAGCGAATACGAAATAAAGCGTTGCATAATGACGATAGATTAATTTGTTCTCATTGTATTCGACGAAGTTGCACGAATCCAAATCACGCTTGGAGACGATTTGAAACGCTTCACGAAGTAATTTTTGTTGTAATTCCGTCGTACAGGACTCGAAAAATCTCAATACTCTCGCTTGACCACGCGTATTGAAAACGAGAATTGCTTTAATCATACTTTCGCGTCTTGTTTTTCAAACACAAAGACGATGTTTCGAAGAACAGAAATAGAAGTGAGATAAGCAAGTATGACAAGTATCAGCAGATGCACGTGGGGACAAGAAGAAATAGCAATGGCTTCTTATCTTTGAAAAAAAAGCATTCAGGTTTAAGAAAAGCTAAGTGCTGTACAAGTAAATCACTGGGAACAGATTTTCACGGAAAACCTTGAACGAAGGTTAGTTAACAAAGTAGTGATTAATGACTACTGTCACTTGCCTTCCGATTAGTAAGGCATTGAATACTGACAGAGAAACTTACCTTCAACTACGAATGACAACGCCGAAAGCATATTGATTCAAGAGCAGGGTCACTTGAGTGACGAGAAGTATTCCGGTCTCTTTTTTTCTCTTATTATTTAAATCGAAATAAAAAAAAGACAAAAAACTGAGATGCACAACATCTGAGCATTCCACTAGGCAAGAAAAAAAATAGGAAGAACAGGCAGCAGACGGCGTTTATGCACAAACATAGATTTATATATATATTTATAATTAAAAAAGAGCTTGAAACGAAAATACTGCAGAATCAAACGACTAGACGACTGTCGAATTTGAAAATAAGATTGTCGAATCTAACGATTGTTTATCTAAAACATGATCTCGATTCATGTACAATTGTTCAAATCGTCTTAACGCATGATCTGCTAGTCGACCTGGCGAATTCGATGTTGGTAATGGTAGAATAGTCCTTTGTTGATGTTTATCTTCCGATTCAAGATTAAATCGAACACGTCGCGTCGTATCCGTACTATTCGTTGGTGTTGATACGTCATTTAAACGATTAATCAATGCTGAAAATGATGGTGAATGCGAACTTTTGTGGATAATGCCTTCTTTCATCATTGTGTACGGTTGACGGAAGGTTTGATGTGCATGAGATGTTAACAAATTCATACTTCCGACGGGCATTGGTGGATCCGAGATATCAGATGAACCACAAAAGCCGTCATCGGAGCTAACAGGTGTGTGCGGAGAGTTATTTGTTGATGAAGATGAAACAGTTGCTACGCTGTAATCAGTCGGTGTGGATGCCGGTTGAGTCGTTGAGTTTGTGGTGACTGTTGTTGCAGTGGATTCGTAGGTAATAGTCGAATGTCGTTTAGGTGAGCATAGTTGCTGAGAGAGACTTGTTGTTGAGTGGATTTGTGACGGAATAGAGAGACGATTTAACGAATGAAAAGTGGATGAATCAGCACTACGTTGGGAATAACGAGACTCCGGACGAGTTGTCGTTGATAATACCCATGAAGAATAAGTCTAAAAGAAAGAAAGTCTTTCATGGAAAATCTTTTCTTCGAAACGAAGTTTTACTTTGCTTCTTTGTTCGTCATAAATTTCTTTTTCATTTAATTTTTCTAATAAACAACAATTATCATTGAGAACGGATGTTGGTAAGATCGAATCTTTGTTCAACATGAGTAACGATGGTGATGAGGACAGATCGTTGTATTCATAACAATTGCTAACACGTAAACTTTGCCGTTTATCATGAGGGTTGAGGGTAGGTGATTTAAATAAATTCATCGTTGAACTATCCGATTGTTGTTGCAACGCTGACGATGTTGATAATGAATCTTGCTTTTTCAACAAATCCTTGTGTTGCAATGCCTTTCTCCTGATCAAGGAAATGAATAGAAATGTAATACCAATGAGAATAATGCTTAGAACAGTAATAACAATGAAAACGAGAAATCGATTGGATTCGTCCAAAGATGATGGATGACGTGAACGATACGAGTGATGATTTGGTGATTGTGGTAGCGGTTGATGATGTGATGACGAACGATATTGTAGATACGAAAAGCGATTGTTGATATGTGAACCCAGATGATCGTAGAGTTTAACTATTGTTTGAACACGTTCGTAATTGTTAACAACGATTAGTTTTAATAATTTCTCATCGAAAAAATTATCACCATCAATGATCTAAACAAGCAAAAAATTCGAGATCGAATAAAGTTCATCAAAGAAGTTTTTACTCTGAAGGCTAAGTAATAAACTCCTTCGTTCAATGTCGTTGAATTTGTGGAATTGAAATAGAGTTTGCCGTATTTATCAAGATAGAACTTTGATGAATCGAATTGAAGCGATGGTTTCTGTTCGGATAGATAATCATAGTTTTTCAATTGACTAAGACTATTCACAAGCATGAGAGTATGATTGGGAATCTGATCGTGATCTTGAATATCAATTTGGCAAATGGAATCCTCAGTCCGCCAATAAGTTCGATCGATAATCAATGTATCGTTATTATCATTAGGAAATGTAAATCGAGGAATTTCATCATTTAAGTCAAGAATATTAATATGAACTTTGACCCGGGAGGATTTGTGCTGACCATCGGATGCGATTACATAAAAGATGTACTGATTAAATTGTTCACGATCAAGAGGATTAAGTGCATAGATTTTGCCATCGGAAGGAGAAATTTGGAAGAGGGAGGAGATTTGTGGGGAAGGATTATCGAGAGAATAGATTAACGGAGAATGATCAGCATCGTAAGCAGTTACTTGACCAATGTAACTATTGGGAGAATTGTTTTCATATATGGAGAATTCGTAAGTGGATTGAGGGAACTACAAAAGAAACATGATTCTCATTGGTCTGATGAGTTCTGCTTGAACTTACTTTTGGAAAATTATCGTTTTGATCGATGATATTGACAAACACAACCGCAGTGGTTTTTAATCGTTGTCCGGTTTTGGGATGATCGACAGCAGTGACATTGAATGTGAAATTAGTCATTTGTTCATAATCAAATTGGATTTTTGTTCGAATAATTCCTGTTTGATTATCAATTGTAATGAAATTCTTAAAATAATCATCTAATTCATAAGTTACTCGACCATTATCATCTTTATCTGAATCATTTGCATGCACTTGCAGTAAAATCGTATTAACTAGATTATTTTCTTGAATATCAACATAATAAATCGGTTTATCGAATCTCGGTGCATTATCATTATCATCCAAGATTGAAATCGTCAATTGGTAGAATGACGACAAATTCGGTTGACCATTATCAGACAAAATCAGATGTAGAACATATTGATCTTGATGCTCCCGATCGAGTTTCGTTGTTGTGGATAGTACGAATGTTGAATCAGCAAACGGACCGTAAATTTGAAATGGTAATAAATGCGAAGAATTGAATTTTAGTTCAAAATGAAAGGGTAACGCGTCTAAATCTGACGCAATTAGATTTGCTATGATGACATTTGTTTGTTCAACCTTAGATTCGAGCACGCCGATGTGAATGTCGAATGAATCGGTGTCATTGAGAATATCGATTGTTTGCAATGGAAAATTCCATGACAATAACGGTGAACAATCATTGATATCTTCGACTTCAATGATCACATAGGTGTAAAATGGAATATGTGATCGATCGTGACCTTGAATAACTAGTTTCCATGTTGTGGTTGACTCGTAGTCTAAGGAATGAATTAAACTGAGATATCCGGTGGAAGAATCGATTTGAAAGTATTCGAAATTTCGTTTGGAATTCGATGATGCGAGCAGATAATTTGGCGTCGTTGAACACGATACAATCGGTTTTAACTGGAGGAAATCTTTATACAATTCATTTTCTCGTAAACGAACTCGATAGGGATTTTTCTCGAATTGGCATTGTTGCTGATCGGCAATTTGTTTATTGAGGAGAAAATGTGCATTGCCGACAAATAGCTCCTTTTGATTTCGATGAATATTATGCTGATTTTTGTTATTGCAATAGAACGGTAATGTTACTGTTGATTGATCATTCGTTATATTGATATGAAATGCTTTAGTATACTTTAATTCCACGGCTAGTTGATAAATGGTGGTATTTTGTGGAGAGACAACTTCGAGTTTCAAGGTATAATTTAATGGACATATTGTAGTGAGAGATGTTCGAGTGAGTAACTGACATGACGAGTCGAGATAGAAATATTTCGATTCGGTTTGTAGTAGACAAC